TCTTCGTCCAAATCATCATCGCTAGCATCTTCGTCCAAATCATCATCGCTAGCATCTTCGTCCAAATCATCATCGCTGGTATCTTCGTCCAAATGATCATCGCCAGCAACAGTATGATTGTTATCTTTATTTTCTTCTAAATTTATTCGATCATTTTCAAAATCTTCATATGTCCCGTTTTCTTCATTCTCAAAGGCTACTTTACGTCTGGTGCGATCTGACTCATCATCATCCAACGATCTCGTTGAACCTAACAAAAACATCGTCATGTTAATATTAAGGAATTTTTAAGTGATCAATTCATTACATTACCATTGTGTTGACTTTCCTCAACTTCTGCACCTTTTATAGGAACAGAATTAGCAAAAATTGAAAGAGAAGTTTCTTTTAGCCTCGAAGCAAGAGTCTCTGGTGCATCCTGTAAATCTATTACCATTTTTTCACCAGGTCCTTGCTCGACCTCATGTTCTATAAAAATTATATAGAGAGTAATTTATTTCTTGTCCCAAGTTATGTTCAGTTTTAAATAATTTAACTCTAACCATCTCCATCTTCATTGTTCTCCTTTGTAAAATTCCCTGGTACATTGATGTACACAGCATCTTTGTCATACATAATTCCACCAACATCAGACATTGGTGCATAGATGAGCTTTTGTTTTTCGCTCAAACTCTTCCTTACTTTATCCGGTAGTGGACACGGATCCGGAAGTACAGTTACATCCGATAGATAATGATCTCCGACGCCAGGGATGTGTACCTTTAACAATGATATTAGAGATGAAATTAGCAGATGCGTTCATCACAAGAGGATCGGTCAACAAATAAAACCTTCATGTTTGACTTCATATTTGTTCCACGCAAATATCCATACAGAGTAACCGTTCTATCGCAGATGGGATTCTTTCTAGCTTCCTCAGGATCGGTTAAATCTTCTACGCGATCGGCCACTAGATATGGATGAGTATTTCTCCAAACCAATGGCCTAAACTTCATAACCGAAATAAATCTCGAAAGGTTATGAATTTCCTGATTTGGATATCGACCATTTATTACTCCTGATAAATAAAAAAGCTTTGCCCCCTGATAAATTTCAGTCCAAAAGCGATGCTTTAATCGTTTTTTAGTGACCTTTAACGTTTTGTTGTTTTTAAATTTGTCAAGATGTGTAAGTACGCCTATAATCTTTGGGAATCCATGTGTTTGTAAAATATTTAGGAATTCAAAAGTTTCCTATGCCAGAAAAAAAGAATCATTTTTGTATTATCTTAAAAAATCTACTACAACAAAATTCTTACGGGTAAATCAGGTTCACTCACCATTTCAAATCCAAAACTTGCATCAATCAACAATAATACTAGATCAGCTACTTTGGCAATATCTATCATACAATTCATATCATTTGCACTTTCAATGAATGTCAGTCTTCTTCTTTTACCTGAAATAAATAAAGCGAATAAGAGCATCCGATATTACATGTGCATTGGTTTTTTTTTAAAAGTTCATAAGCAACGGCTTACCGCTAACGACAGTAATGGGTCCTTTTGTTTCCGTAAGGTTATGTTTGGTATATCGTTTTACCAAAGACTTTATCAGCGTTGTCTTTCCAGTCTAACGAATTATTATGATAAGATTGGTTACATAAACAAAGTTGTACGAATTGTGATTATTGAAAGTACCTGGGGTGGACCAACTACCGCAACCACAACTGGTGGTGGTTCGGTTGGTGTTCGATCTACTAATGGTACATGAAGTTTATTTTGTATTATTTCTTGTTTACGCCTGGCAAGTTTGTCCGCTTTTCTTCCGGATAAAGGCGCGAACGCCTGTATTTGGAATAAGTTTATTAGTTAGATCAAATTGTACTTTACGATGGATAGTCGATTTCGTGTACCTTTGGATTTTTTTCTTGTTGCTTTTTTTGTTTTTTTGTCTTTTTATCTTTCTTAGAGCCAGATTGGCGAGGTCGATGAGCCTTGTGCTCTTTTGTATCCATATTTTTTGAAATTTGAAATCTTTGGAATATATTTAGCTGATGATTTGCAATATCACGGGAAATCTAAATTTCAGATCTGAAGATCCCTTAACATACTGTACTGTACATACAATTCATTTATGAAAAATATACAACACATTTTCGACTGTTCTAAAATGAAATTTTATTTTAATGAAACAAATAATTCATTCTTTTAAATTTTAAATTTCATAATATTTCGCCTGAAATGAAATCTGGTTGATGTAAATGTCGACGCCAATATGCAGCGCATTGAAATCTTGTTCTTGTACCAACATCTTTGGCTACCTCTGTCCACTTTCTCCCACGAACTGACACGGATTCTTTGAGCGATTCTACTTCCTCCTGAAGCCACGGACCATAATTTATATTTGGATCAGTTCTTGAGTGTGTAATGTGGTAGTTTTTAACCTCTACCAGACTTTTATCTGGAAAATTTTCCATGATCTTTGTCCAATTGTATCCATGCTCTTTTATGGAGTCATGCAATCTGAGATTATCCTCTTCCGTCCAAGATATTATATTATAACGCTTTGAAACGACATAAAAAGGTCTTTTAAGGATATCACTTATCTTACTCCATTTTTTGCCATATTTGTCAACCAGCTCAAGTAAATATTTGTCCTCTTCGGGACTCCACGGCCCACGTCTAGACTTGGATATTGCTTCCCATCTTAGCCTAAGCCGATTATAATTTTTATTTGGCAGGTGCTGACCTATTATGGTCCATCTGCCGACTCCATATTTTTCAACACATTCTTTTAATATTTGATCTTCTTCGGGCTTCCAGCGAGAACCATTATCTTTCTTCACTTGAAACCTTTTCCAATTGTCTTGCAAGCGAGCCGGTTTTATTCGTAATTGAAAATACTCTTGTGAAATATACTTCCAGCGATTTCCGTGTTTCTCCACTGCATCTTTGAGTATATTTAATTCTTGCGGTGACAGAGATTTACCCTCATTTTCTTGCCGTAATTCGTATAATGGTTTATTGAAATATGTTTTTAGACGCCTCGAGTTCGAAAATGATTTATTTAAACATGGATTGTTCAGAATGTTTTTTTTATCAACAGTAACAAAGGTTTTTAAAGCAAAGCAAAGATTTCGCAACAGTTGCATCTTCATGGCCTACAAATTGAAAATTATTTGACAATCGATAACGCGCTGGAATCCGATTATTAGTCATGTGATTTCAAGGTTAAAAAAAAATCCCAATATTCCTTGTGTACTCTCTGCAACATGACTTAATGCTCTGCAATTTCCTCTTTTAGATGCTTATGGGCTGTCGCGTTGACAAATGGATTTAGAAAGAAATCAAAGGATGAATTTAAAGACACGGAATTATGTAATTAAACTAAAAACAAAATACGTAATTGGTATCACCTTTTGTTACTTGAAGTCATAAAGTTGAATGAATTCGGAGCAAGTGATTTTCGATAGAAAGCTTCGACGAAAAATATGATCTTTTGTACATGTTCAACACAACGATATAATAAAACGGAACACGATAAATAAATTTTTTTTTTTTTTACTGAAGAATTGGATCATCAATTGTTACATGATTACTATCTGTTTTGTTTCATTTTGATCAACTAACGTTTTTTCCATTTCTAGTTTACAATTAAATTACTTCGACGCTGTTGTTCTGGAAGAATATTAAGATAAAGAAAGGAATGAAATTTTAGCGTCATAAGTTGATTGTTATCGAAGAGGGCAGGAAGAATATTCTTTTTCCCTATATCACGCATTATGTTAAATCAACTGTTCAACAATTCTTCACCTTTATTATTTAATTGGCACGGCAAAAAAAAAAAAATATATATAAATGTGACCACTTCAATTTCCTCAAATTCTTCTCGTAGATTTCGTAGAGCCTCTTCACAATGTCCGAATCTCCAACCCCAAATTTCAAAATATGCACTTTAATATATAAGTTAAATCCGTCAAAGTATGTCTCTCGATCTTTTAGAATTAATAAGTGTGATACACTGGATCAAATTAAGGAAGCAATTTCAACCACTTTTCGACTTCCTGAATTTGATCTATATGATGGATGTGAGCTAATCACAAAATCGTACGAATCGTTTAAGAATGGAAGGTATCACGAAATTTCTTCTCCCGGTTCCGGCCCTCCACAGGAACCTATTGATGAAATTATCGATCGTATTCAGAGGGTTAGTACAATTGACGATAAGAGTGACGACGAGGAAACAATGGGAAGTGTTTCAGAAGATTCGAACACAAGCAGTGAGGTCTGTATTTTAAAATTCGTTCTAGTATCTACATGATCGAAGTTAATCGTAATTTTTCGTGTCTTATTTAGCATGATCCGATCAACCTCGGTGGTGATATGACGGAGACTAGAGAGCATAATAGAAGGACAGCGTGTGACTTCTGCGTAAAAATAAAAAAGAAATGCGAACGAAACTCGATTAACGAAAATTGTAAAAGATGCGTTAGTTCAAATAAGACTTGCAAGACTACTACTATCTAAAAACCGACCCTTTCATGTTTTATATCGTCTATAAGTTCGCATTTATCTTTTTAAAAATGATATTTCTGTATTACATTAAATTATCAAATAAATAAATATATTCATATTATGCATATTTTAAAAAAAAAATACAATTATTAAATTATAATACTGTATATACAGTTTGATTGTTTAAGGAAACCGCTAATGTGAATTTTAGTATGTATAAATATAAATATGAATATGAATATGCATATACTGTATATAAAAATTATAAAAATAGTGCTTTTTTAAATAAAAAATTTTTTTTTATAAATTTTTGACTTAAATAAAATTAAAACAAAGCTTTAGGTTCTGTTCTAAGCAAGTCAAAACTGTTAAAGGTTTTATTTTGGAAATACAAAAAATATAAAATCAAATTATAAACAAATATATAATAATTATTAATATACAATATATATATATATAAGATATTAAATATATACTCTTTCTGTTGATCCTCTTGCCAACACAAAAAACAAATGTTTCAAAGAAATTTTATATTTTCTTGTAATAAAATCTATACATTTTCTTTAACAACATTAGTATCCAGAGACTTCAGTCTCTTTCTTTTTGTTTTTTTTTCTCTTTAATATAAATTTTCTATATTTCAGCAAGTAAATATAAAAAAAACTTACAAAATCAAAGGTAAGAACATTGTGTTAGGAAAAAGAACTTGTAAAAAAATATTTTATTACTTTTCTCCAGAAATTCAAGACTTTAGAAAAGACCATCACTGACTTTTGGAACTCTTTTTTTATTTTTCTCAAGTTCTTCTTTAATCTCTCAAGTATATATATATATATTTTTATTTTTTAAAAGAATTTTGTTTATCTCAGTTTGACCCTGAATTTTTGGTTACACCAGAATTCTTGAATGATAATTGACTCAAATTTTGGAATAGCTGATCTACATATAACAAGAAATATAAACAAAACATGTAACTTTCATGTGTCCTATCTTACACAATATAAAATCCAATAATATTATTAAATACAGTAAAAAAAACAAGATGACAAGGTATTCTTTTTGTTAAAAAGTATTATGATATTTCCTCTTCTCCTTTTGAACTGGTTTCTTTTTTCTTTAAGATCAAAAAAAGTCTTATTTCAATCCAATAACAAGCTTCTTCTAGTAAATAAAGCTATCCCTTAAATCGTAAGACATTTTTTTTATAATGTTTAAAATTTTTTAACTAAAAAGTTGCTTTTCATTTATTTTT